TGGATGGGTAGGGTTGGGATATTTTTGTATTTTGCTCAAACGTCTTGTTGAACACTTGTACACAGGTATCATTTGATGCAAGCCTGCTGGAAACACGATCCCAATGATCGACCTGTGTTCTCGTCCATCGTACAGACYATCGATAAACTACTAGAAGGAACTACGACACAGGTGCGGTATTGTTGCATATTAAAGCTTACTGCAGCATCATATGCCTAAAATGCATTCAGGCAACGAAAAATTTGATATAAACTCTTTTAGAATTGCCTTATTTTTTGATTAATGTACTATCTTTCGACGTCTGATTCTTTTAATTTTTAATCCTAGTACTTATATTAGGATGACTGTAGGTCCTTTATTCCTTCTCGTATTTTTTCATCTTACTTCAGAAAGTTTTCTTCTTTCTGGGATCTAGTACTCCTCCCTCTCTGCGTTCTTTCCGCATCTTTTACTGTTAACTTATTAACTTCTTAGTTATTTTTCTTGCTGTCATACAAATAAGTTATTGTTCATAACTAATTTTGTCTCAATTCTCAATTCCAGACCGGTGAAGAGTACTTGGAACTAGAAAACGAAATCGATCCTCGTGAGAATCAACCATATTATCTTCAGCCAGAAGAAATAGCATCATTTCAGAGGCCGCCAGAAAGCCCATCGTCACCTTTTGACAACCTACATTCCCCCCTCCCACCCCTCCCTCAAGACGAAATCGAGCTCCAGCAGCTCATAAGAAGGAGTGATTCCGATGACCACAACTCAAACACTCGTGACTTTATTTTACAAGACGTTCCTAAAGGAAAAAAGAAGAAAAATTTTGAATTTGATCACGAACTTGACCAGCAAAAGAARAGTGATTCCAGTGGTATTGTATCTGATGAGGAAGGCAGTAATAGTGAAGACGAACATCTTATGAAGGACTATGTATTCGACCCTCCATCACCTTATGTCAACTCAAAACCTTATAACTATTCGAATGAGGTTCAGCTACCAAAGAAAGGCAAAGACGGGCGAAAAGAATCTGCAAGATATGTATAAATAATGAACTTCACTAAATTTCCTAAAAGTTATCTAGTATTGGCTTATATGATGGATGTTAGCCAATTACCTCCTTTATCTTTCAGCTACTCATTCGTAGAGACTATTAGAATTTAAAAGCTAAATATCAGTCTCCTATGCGGTCTAAATCGGGAAACTGAGGCGAACTAGGCTGGAACTATAAATTTCAATTGTAAGCAGAGACAAAAAAATTTGTAGAGAAATCTGTGCTTGCATGATATCAATGCAAACACTTTCCTCAGTATGAAGTTTGCTAATTACTTAAAACGTATTGTGTATGGCCTACGCCCTTGTGGCCATGCATGTCTGTATATATTCAATTAATACTTAAGAGCTAGATCTGCTGTAATTTTAATATGAATAGGTTAGATAGCTTGCGTTCATTTTATTTCCATTCTGGATGATAGTTCACATACAGAATGCTTTGCAGGTGCATTCTTGGCAAGAACGTTGGAATTCCATTCTCTTACGGAATGGGTTCCAGTTATGTTCCAGAAACTGAAGACTTTTTCAGACTMGCACTCGTCAAGATTTCTAAGTTAAAAGGCAACATAAGCAAGAGCTCTAATGATAATATTTTTAAGTAGCGTTCCAGTTTTTTAAGCAGTAATGGTATTCAGTTGATGGACATTCCAAGATGTGTATAGTTTATTCAGCGCGATAGCTAATCATTTCAAGAGACGAACCACATTGGCTCAGATCATAAGAAGATAACTTCTATACGGGGCTTTCCGTATATTTTCTATGTAAAATATATCCTCAAAATTCGAAACTTTTATTAGGTACCTAAATGAATGTTATCATTCTATTTAATCGGAAGAGAATTAGTAGAAAAAATATTTAATGTTTACATGGGAAAGAATATTTCAAGAATTTCAATGAATTATGTACTATAGGTTAGAGCTTTTAATAGAAATACTTTTCTCATTCCTGCATATTGTTTTCACTACGGCATAAGCATAAACATAAGAAAAACACTGACGAAGGAATGAAGTCAAGCGTGTCAAACAAAGAGAAGACCTCATGCGTTTCTTTGTGTTTTTTTTGTTATCCCACCAACCCCCTGTAGCTATACCCCTTAGCTTACATCGTAGTGAAGACCAGTCCGTATCTGGAGAGTATTGGAGATTTGGCGACAATTAAAAATGTCAGGTTTATAACATCCATAAGTACTCCCCAGATCCATATCACACAGTAATTCCAAGAATTAAACAATTGTTATAAAATATCAGGACGAATAAATAGTAAAGAGAAATATCTCTGTCTTTTTATATTTGTTTGAATGAGTAAATCAGAGAAGGAACTCTGGTAATTAGTCCAAGCGGCCATTCGTTCTATWTTTAGAACAAGTGCTATTTTTATGTTGTTACCAAGCCCGCGCGTCCATACTCGTTCATCGGCCATTTTATAATGGCGCCAAAGGTGATATGTCCAATATAGGTCATCAGAACTCAACAAAATTTACTTTTAAGAAACAGACATCTTTRSAGAAGTAACTAAAAATAAGGAACCGTCTTCGAAACAAAGAAAACTTCGGAAAGTTTCCAACGAGAATCATCCTCAGAAGGTAATGTGACATGAAATCAGTTGTGTCTAATGTTCAGTTGTCTGAGAACATGAATCTTACCTATTGACCTTTTGAACAGTAAATAAAGAAGGAAAGTAAGTTTTTTTTATGGAATCACATGACGAACTTCAGTGTCTTCAACTTCATGTTCACTATTATCTTCGTTGCTCTCGTTTTCTCTAGGTGAACTTGTAACAATTTGAGGGTCGGGATCCCTGTGCCTTCCTCTTATGGCTCCAAACAGCACGCTAAGTTGAGTCCCCGATTATACCCATTTCGTACGCTTAAAGTTCGTTCACAGTATTAAAAACAACATAAACATAACTAATAAAAAACTTTAAATTTTTTTTTTGCTCCATACATTTATTAAATTTTCAAAATCGTATGCTAGTTTATTCTATACGAGACTAGCACTCAAGAGGTCTTCGATTCGTTACGACATTCGTTGTGACTAACTATGGTCCAATAGAATTGAATGCACAATATTATGTTTTTGTGTTTTTTTTAGCAGTTTAGTTGAGGCAATCAAGAAATTACAACTCAGTTTACTATAAATAGATTGTATAAGAATGGTTGAGTGTCATAAGCAATGCATTCTACCCACTCACGGCACAAGTGAACCATGGTTCAGCTACACTACTCATACACTGATTTAAAACAGTAGCCGAGAGTGACCAAAATATGACAAATTGTCAGAAAACTTGTTGCTATCTATAACTGTTTGATTGAGTATTTATTTGAGCTATTGCAACTCAATTTGGTCTTTAGGGAGGGGTGGGAGGGGAGGACTATAATTGGTGTCTGTTGCTGATGACTGGATTGTTGATGTTGGTATAATGAAGTCGATTTCTTCTGGCTGAAGATAATATGACTGATTGTTACAATGTCCGATTTCTAGTTTCAAGTACTCCTTTCCAGTCTAGAAATTAAACCGTACAACAGTGTTATTGAATAATGTTCCTGTTGGGTGCAGGGACATCGCAAAATTTTACTTTCGGGCGCACAAAAAAGTAAAAAGCTTAAAAAACGTATATTTTGATTTTTCCCTGCATACTCTTGATACATTTGACAGAAACTTTGAGAAGGGAGGGATATGGAGGAAGGGGTGGGAAGAGTGTGATCGATTTATATCCATATTCTTATCCATTCTCGGGTTTTTCTATCTCATCTATTTATTTATACATAATGCAACATATATCTCACCTGTGTGGCGGTTTCCTCTAGTAGTTTATCGATAGTCTGTACGATGGAAGAGAATGCAGGTCTGTCATTGGGATCGTGTTTCCAGCAGGCTTGCATCAAATGATACCTGTGTATAGAAATACCCAACACTTACACACAAAAAAAACTTAATTTATTGTTGGGTTCATTAACCATTTCATTTGACTCACACGAATCTTCTTTACATTTAAGTCATCGACTGTTTGCTAAAGTTGGTCACACTTACATTTGGTCGGGACTATCTTCTGGTTGGTGCATGCGCTGTCCATCTATTAAGTACTGATATACTTCTTTAGTGGGTAAACCAGGATAAGGACTGCCGCCTAGTGTAAAGATCTCCCATAGCAACACCCCAAACGACCACCTTAAAAATATTGTCTTTTTACTCAGGTATCGATGAACAACGTAATATAGTCTGATGTAAATGATCCAGTGGTTCATTTTCGGCTGACTGGTTGCGATGTTTTATTGGTTTATACTTTGTGCTATTTTTATTAGTTAAATGACCATAACAATCCAATATTGCTTGATTGGGTGCAACTCGTTGAATACTTACACATCGCTTTGATGAGTATAGATTCTGTCTGCCAGCGCCTCGATAGCCATCCACTTTATAGGTACCAGACCCTGAAAATCAAGCAAAAACGGGGACATGCCAATAATACTTGTATATGATAAATTGTCTGACTAAACAAAGCCAGGAATTATTATGATTGGACGGTAAAAAGACCTTGGAGGGAAAAAGAATAGAATGCTCTCATGAATGGGGATAAGTGAATAGATAAAAAGATGAAATTAACGCACGAGGGATACTAGAACAAGCAACTCACTGAGGTCGTCTTGAAGTACTGTTCATTTTTATAAACATCTCGAGCAAGCCCAAAGTCAGCTACTTTCATCACGTGGTTCTCTCCGACAAGAACGTTTCTAGCAGCGAGATCTCTATGTACACACTGCAAAACAGACGATGATAAGGAGGAGTCTATAGAATCTTCGTTGAAAACTTCCAAAGATTTTGCAGGATGATAAAAGGAAAAATAATCTATTGAGTCCACAGGAAATGGCTTACCCGACGTAAAGCAAGGAATTCCATGGCACGTGCAACCTGGAAGGCTGTGATCATCAAGTCTGTAGTACTGAGTGATTCATCGGGTTTCTCGGTGGCAGGAGCCCATGTGGCTTGGAATATATCGCGTCTGTTGCGGAGGAACTCTAATAGATTACCATGAGGACAGTACTCAATGATGACAAGAACTTCACATCTACGTCCTAACAATTTCCAAATAATGAAAGTGAAAAATATGAACTTCAGAAAGTCAGTTACTTTAGATACTGACAAATCAACGAAGTAGTTTTTAACATGTTTGAATCTTTTTGTCAAGTCTCTTCTTTCCTTCGCCAATTATTGCAAAACTCACCAATGCGCCCACAGAAATTATATCTACTGAGAAAAGGACCATGCGTGAGGAGGAGCCAGTACAAGATTTCTAAAAATAAGTGAAGAGTTTGCTGTACCTTTTGTACAGGCACCGAGTAGATTCACGATGTTCTTATGTTCACCAATGTGCATCAGAATTTTCAGCTCGGAAACTAGATCTTTGTATTCTGACTCAGAGGCGTCCTCTGAACATATCAAAGATATTATTATCAATAATGAACAACTACGCCTCAATCGCTCTAGCTAGACAGCAAGTGTTCTATTAATCGGTGAGACCCACAGACAATCCCCCCTTTGGCGACACTCCCCACAGCCACAGCTGGTTTTTGACTTAGGGAGGTGAACAAGCGTACCTGGAGAAAACCCTCGGTGGAAAAGAATCTGTTTACAGGCCCAAATACTATCAACGCTGAATCATCCCGGAGGAGCCCACGGGGTCTGTTCTTCTAAATAACTTTTCTTGTGCGGATTTTTTTGGGAAAGGGATTTTGAGCAACATTGTAAAACGTTTTAAAAAACGGCTTACATATTTTTAAGTTAGGAAATTTTTTATTCAAGTTCCTGGAAAAAATTCTTAGAAAGTATTTTTTGCCTGGAGAGTTCTTTTTCCTGAATTTTGCAACCAGTTGTGCGAGTTGGCCGGGAATTAAGAACAGATACTTCCCAGGAACCCGTCGGTTCCTATCATCACACTAATTAATCGAGTACCTTTAAGTCCTTTACAAGCTACCACTGTCACTTGTCTGTTATTATAGTACTGCTGATGGCCTCCAGTAAGACTGAACCGTAATCTTCCTCTTCTTTTTCTTTTGCGTCTTGGATCAAACGCCACGATTCCTATCGCCTCTGCTCTGAATACCTGACCAAAAGCACCCGAACCAATGACTTTACCTTGACAGTAAAAAGAAATGATCGAAMAGTGGTAATTCACTCTTATCAACCAATAAGCGCGCGAGACTGATTGTGATAAATATGAAATATTCCATAACGAGCATGCTTACATATTTTTTATCCATGAAATGGGAGTACGTAGAGCAGGAAAGATAGAGTGCCGAGAAAAAGGGTTATTCCGTGCGAAAAGACCCTTGGAAGATCATATCAGTTTCTGATCCCCATGATTTAATTTCACATCTCTAACATCTTACCTAATGTAAGTCTATTTCTAGGAAACTCCCAGACAGCACACAGTGGTAGTTTGTGAGTCTGTTCTTGTATCGGTCGGTGAGGGTCGAGTTTCTTGAGGTAATCTGGCATKGGAGGTAATGTCAAGATGTAGAATCCGCCGTACAGTTTCTTTCTACGATACAAAACGGCGGTGACGACCAGAAGGATGAAGATTAAAAGAATACCAGCGATGATTATGATGATTAATGCTGTCTTTGAGRTGACTTTATCAGAATTGGAGAAATATTTACTGTTCACTGTTTGGTCTGGGAAAAAAAAGGTTACAATATAATACCGTTGAATTGTTGAAATTAGTCACATGCCTGCTTGATAACCACAGCAGCTGAAACAATGGYGAATAGGAAAGGTTGGTATGTGGTATCCAAGCACGTGACCAGCTGAATTTTTTTTCGTTCATTTTCGACGAGTGAATATGTTGGCAGGACTTTAGCAAGATTGAGCAAGGTATCTATAGGTAGGATGGGGGAATAAACCTCGGCAATCCAAACTGASGAAGCAGTTTTTCGCATCCAACTATTAATACTGCCAATGCTTGTATTCACTCTATCACCAATCATACAATGAATTCTGAGTGAAAACGACATCATTTAAAGAGAGTTAAAAATCATTGATATTTCCAAATTTGACTGAAACGAGCGCACGTTTYATATTCCAGTCCACAATGCCTATATCAAATTGCCAGATTAACATGTAAACGATTGTAGGTTTACAGGTTACTAATATGTAGGACTTTTGTAAAAACCGGGAGGGGCTGTAGTAGCCACACCTAACCCACTCCCGAAACAAACCGTGCAGTGACTGAACAAAACCAGGATAAACAAAACACAGAACGAAATTGATAACAACTCACTGACAGCGAAAGTCTTTTCGTTTGTTCCCATGATGTTTCTCGCCTCGCATTTGTAAACCGCAAAGTCGCTTTTCTCCAAATGTTTGATACGTATTTTTTGTCTCTTCTTAGTCCATGTAGAATCCTTATAGGGTTTGAAGATACCATTTTTTCTTTCTTTTAGCCAACGGACTTCGGGGATTGGGTTCCCTTTCACATTACACCTGACTCTAAAGTCATCACCGATAAACCAGGTTTCTTTTGTGTATCCCTTGAATTGGATTATTGGTGCAGCTGGGAACGAGAGTACATATGAGGCATACTAACTGCTAAATGAGCATAGGTTTAATTCAATTTCAATTTCAATTTCAATTCAATTTCAATTTCAATTTCAATTTCAATTTCAATTCAATTCAATTCAATTTCAATTTCAATTTCAATTCAATTTCCACTAGTGACCTACTGGTCCTGTTCAAGGAAAGACTCAATCCGATAGAGAATCATTACGCCTAGTGTATATAGTGTCTTTTTCATTGTTCATAAATCCTTTGAGGTAACAAGAACGTACATAACATTGCCAGAATGACTTAATAAACGCATTTGAAGTAGTTCAGTTGCATTATTTTGAGTGAAAAATGTGAAGGTTTTGGCAAAATAGCTTAGTATGCATACTCAAGTGTTTATCAGTCAGTCAGCAGCAGCTCTCTGTTTTTTTGTTGCTGTTGTTGTTGTCATATTATTATTGTTCTTGTTTTTGTAGTTTTTATTGCTGTTGCTGTTATTGTTGTTCTTGTCATTGTTGTTGATGCTGTTGTTGTTGTTTATTACAACTATAAGGAGCCTTACGGCTACAGCTAATAGCAATATGTAACATTAATTGATATTTACCCAGTACGTTYACATATGCTGTTCTGTTAGCTTCTCCAACTTGATTTGTAGCTGAACACGTATACAAGCCAGTATCCCAGCCCTGGGCGTCGCAGATAACCAGCGTACTATTACGGGCTTCAGTGCCTGGCACTTTGGAAATTTTCAAATAATAATATGGATTGCGTTTTCTGTGTATGTTTTCACAATCCTTCGAAGATTGAAAAACGCCCAACGCTTTGATGCGTTTACCGTTTTTAAACCACTGGACCTTTGGAAATGGGAAACCACTGACCGTACAATATAATGTAAAGTGGCTCGTTTCTTTGATTGTTTCGTTTGCGAATGTGACAACTTGTGGAGCCACCACTGCAAAATACAATCAATGTGGGAATAATTTGAGAATTACATCAACTCCAAGCAGGTGTACGTTAACAGTGACATAAAAWGGCTTTTTTCTATCTCAACGATGCCTTTAATAACGATAGCAATGCCTTTAGCTCAAATTAAAGTGACTTCTAAAACCCAAATCTCTAGAAGAAACTATTGATATGAAATAAATAAAAAATATTAAAATATGAATAATTGGTGAASATAGCTCCATCTGAGCATGAGCAGTAATCAACTTGGTTTCCCACATCCAAGCGTCACTATGTTTTAGTGTACTATAACTCTGCAACAAGCATATYTCAACTCGAAACCTAGTGAAGTTCTATGATGAGAGTCTAAAACTGAGAACTTTTCTAGTGTTGGGCATACATCGAATGTCTGTAAGTCAGTTACAACACTGATGTTTTATAAAACTCATGTTAATCAGTATTGTATCTTGAGTTATATAGGTTCTGTCATGTGACCCATAATTGAATGCTCATTGGAAGAATGTCTAATGAGTAACTCATGAGTTTTAGAATTTGAATTCAATTTTTGCTCACCCTTATAAACGTAGATCTCGAATTGTAAATCGGCTGCTATCTTATCAGTTCGACAGCTGTATATCCCTGAATCATTCTGTTTTAMGTTGCTAATGGTGAATTTCTGCCTGGACKKCTTGACTTTGCCTCCGTCGACAGGGACAATAACATCGTTTTTCAAAAGAGTTACATTTGCAGTAGGAATGCTTAAACGACAGTCAAATGTGTAGCTTACATTCAATGGAAGTTGTTTCCATTTCTTGTTTTTGCGGGTGCGGAGCCATTTTAAGGCTGAAGTCGGAGCYATAGCTGTAGGCAGAAATGTCATTATTTGTCATCGATGATGATGTAACCCCTTTATGTAAAGCTTKTAAAAGTCAGTTACCATACCTGTATTAACGAAAATAATGAATGATACCGCCAGTACAGAGAACTTCGGAAAACCGATCATGACAAAAAAAACAGTGAACCTCTCAACCTCTTGTTGTAAAGCAAAAGGGCTTTCTGTCAAATGGTCCCGACAAATCATATTTTATTTGCACCAATGAGCCTTGTTATTAAAAGAGCAATTATCGGATAAATGGATGAAAGTTTCTGAATCATTTATGAATAGATGAAACCTTGCTGTAATTTAGTACACACTATTTACCAAAGTCTGGGATTTATGCTGACACCATTTACAAGGATTTGATACAATATTATGCCTTATTTGCAAAGCCAACTATAGATTTTGCACCCTTTTACAAAGATTTATTATACAATTTTCACTTTATTTACAAAAACCTGCTGTAATCATTACATACTATTCATAAAGTAGCACTATATAGTACMAGTATTGGGTCTAAGTTTAATCGACTTGGAACATTTTTCAACCACTATTTACAAAGTCTGCCTCCTTCTACGTTTTATGCACACTTCAAAATGAATTGTCTTTTTTTAATATCCAAATACAGGAGTCATTGTGTCAGCGACACGTCAAGTAACGAAAGTTTCCAATATTGCCTTTCATAATTGGACTGATGTTATTGTAAACGGTATGTGGAAATTGCACAATATCTTGTAAATATTGCGTCAAAAACAATGAAAATAAACTTACATATAGTACCAGATGTACTGTTGGCAGGACGGATCTTTTTTRTAAAAGATCTCAGTAGTTTTTTAAAGAAGTTGGGGAAAAAACTCGAAAGGGATGCTGGTGATCATGAACCATGGTCCATTAACTGACATTGATTGTCCAACATCGATTTTATACAATTGATAATATTATGGAAAAATTCAGCACTGTCATATGGAAGAACTATTCATCAGAAATAGTTATTTTTGGAAAGTTTTGAAGCAATGCACTAAATACTAAAATGAAATTGTCGAGGAATAGAAAGAATAGAAGATTTGGATGAAATTCTTTGATGAGGCCTTGGTAGCCTTGTATTGGTGTTTTTTATGCATGTTCTAACCCTTATAACTTCAAGAGGATTTAAGATTTAGAACTTACCTTTAAATTTGATAGAAATGTCGCAAATCGGGCCACGCTTTTCTTGAGAAGTTTTCGAATCTGACACCGTTGATTTTTCAGTTTTTAATTAAAGTTCTAGTTAATTTTAGACGGTGCCCCCGTCTTTAAGCACATACAATTAGATGTTTCCCCCCCCCCTGGATTCTCAACCCCCCTCCTAATAAATATTGTGCAGTCCCTAACGGTGACGTCAACGGTCGATGACTATACAAGAACACCTGTGTCTACACACTAGAATAATGATGATTTCATTATAATTAACATTAGCATCATGATTAAGAATACCTATCAAAAGGAAAAATAAGATTGACATGTGTAAATTGTCAAGAGATACAAAACTAGAAAAACTCGGCTGCGTGGAAATGGAGTCTAGCTGCCATCAATGAGAATCGCTCAAGGTATGCAATTGAAAGTTTGTGTTTAACTCGTGCCTACTTCATTTTGAATCAATTTTTATTTATTACAAATTAATGAA